GCCCTGAATGTGGCAAACTGCAGTTTCCTGGAGTAGTCGTACACAGCAGTTCAGCATCTTTCAGCTCATAGATGTTCAGTGTTTTGGTTCACTCTCACTACACTCATTAGTTTTGCACAGCAGGGAGCTGTTTCCAGCAAAAAGCTTTAAAACCCCACTGTTCACCAACTGCCCAGCACATAAAGGGAAACTGACAAAAAAAAGAAAAGGCTAGCTGTTTAACACAGTGAAGCATTTAGCTGCTAAAGAGTCAGGAGCTGGTGGAAACCAAAACAGAGCTAAAAGGAGAGTGAATATTGGATGCAAGTCCACTGGATTATTGGCATGTTTGTAGTTTTAAAAAATTACACAATAATCTAAATACTTACAGACAAATTTTCAGTGAATTGTTACACCTTTACATCCCAGTACTGTATGTCTGGCTCATTGCTTCCTCCTGTCTCACTCTACAGGGTCTAAGTAGCCTCTTCAGCTCTCTAAAGGTGATCCGCCTGCTCCGTTTGGGCCGAGTGGCCCGGAAGTTGGACCACTATCTGGAATACGGAGCAGCTGTTCTGGTTCTGCTGGTGTGTGTGTTTGGCCTGGTGGCCCACTGGCTGGCCTGCATCTGGTACAGCATTGGGGACTACGAGGTCATCGATGAGACCACCAACACCATTAAAAATGATAGCTGGCTCTACCAGCTGGCCCTGAGTATAGGAACTCCTTACCACTACAACGACAGCGGCACAGGTCAGTGGGAAGGTGGCCCCAGTAAGGGCACTCTGTACATCTCTTCTCTCTACTTCACCATGACAAGTCTCACCACCATTGGATTTGGCAACATCGCTCCTACCACAGATGGTGAGAAGATTTTCTCCGTGGCTATGATGATGGTGGGCTGTAAGTACTCACTCATTAATCTTCTTGAAACATTCAAATCCAGTTTGTCTTTATTTTTGTTTTCAGTGGTAAAAAACCTAAACGGTCTGATATTATATAAATAGCACTACTCTCTCATTACTCTTCTTGGTGTGAGTGGTGCCTAATAGAAATGACATTATAAAAGCAATAAAATCACACACTTGTCTACTACAGATACCAGTGTTGTAGTACTCAAGTCCAGAACTTGGGACTTGAGTTTGACACAAGTTCAGAATTTCAGGAATCATGACTTGACTTGGACTTGCACTTAAGCACCGACTTCATTTGAAAGTCAGAGATGAGGACTGACTGCCAGAAAAGTGACATATGGTGGATAGATGTTGTACAGGTTCACTGGAATCTGTTCAGCACCCATCATAGCCTGAGCGTCTGTCTGAAGGTGGATCATCATCACCTCCCAGTATCAGAAGTTCACTGCGGAGTGGCAAATATTGAATGCACCAACTCTCACTTATCCCAGATATTTCATTCACAAAAATGAGTCTGTTAAAAACTGATTGTATCATTACTTCAAAAGCAGTAAGTCAAATCAACCTAGATTAAATTACTTTGATCCTCTTCACAAAAGTAGAAGTGTCTATTTTCGTCTGGATGTCTGTTTTACTGTGATCTCCTACTGCAGTTGCAGTAATGGCTTCCCCCTGTAGTGTTCCTCCTTTGGCCTAGTCTACTAAAACAGCATGTAAATTGATGCGATAGAAACAGTGAAGAAAACACAAAGTGACAACCACGTTTCATGGTTTGTACTTCCAAAAGTAAACACCCATTACTCTGGTGGCGTCTCAATCACGAAGATGGCTCAGTCACAGAAATTATGTGAGAGACGAGAGGGGAATAGAGGGAAGGGAGAGTTTTCCTGCAGGCAAACGGACAATGAGCCATCACGTTAGATATGTATCCGAACCTTTGTGATCCTGCTGTGATGGCTGGAGACGACTCTTTCTCCTTGAGTGGGTAAAACCTCACGATAAGAGATGCTGACTGACTCTTTGAGGCCACTGCAGCGCTGCAACAGAGTAATCTTACTCAGGAAATGTGCATTATGAATTATACTATAAAGAGTCAGTCCACAGCTCATTGTGTATTTAAAAACATTAATACTGTATGTAATAATCTAATAGCTCAGCCCCTACAAATACAAATCCCATAAATATCATACATTTCTAAAATAATACATACATGTCATGTTGTTGAATGAATGCACCCTGTTTGTCAGCGTGTAAAGCTGCCACCCCCTCAAAAGTATCTGACGCTGCGCTTCATCTTCTGTTTTAGCGCTGCTGTACGCGACCATCTTTGGAAATGTCACCACCATCTTCCAGCAGATGTACACTAACACAAACCGCTACCATGAGATACTCAACAATGTGCGCGACTTCCTCAAACTTTATCAGGTTCCCAAAGGCCTGAGTGAGAGGGTCATGGACTTTGTCGTCTCCACCTGGGCCATGTCTAAGGGCATTCGAGGGGCATTGATACAGATAAGTTATTATTATTATTATTATTATTATTATTAGTCACTAGCAGCAGTAAAACCTGGACGAGCTGATGTGAATTAACTTGTCACCATTTATTTCAGGTTCTGGCAATTTGTCCCAAAGACATGCGTGCAGATATCTGCGTCCACCTGAACAGACAGGTGTTCAACGACCACCCAGCGTTTCGTCTGGCCAGCGACGGCTGTCTGCGCTCTCTCGCTGTGGAGTTTCAGACCACACACTGTGCACCTGGAGACCTCATTTTTCACATCGGAGAGAGCATTGACACCCTTTGCTTTGTAGTCTCTGGGTCGCTCGAAGTCATCCAGGATGAGGAGGTCATCGCAATATTAGGTAATTCAGCACAATACTACGATCTAAGACATGCAGGCCCAGTTTTATCTGTGCCTGTTAAAATTAATACATAGTTTATACACATTAAATCATAAATTGCCCTAATCTTTTTACATTCTTCCTCTTAAACGTATCTTTTATCTGCCACAGATGTTGTGTCTTTAACACTTTGTGCCGTTAATAAACAAACTGACAACATCTGGTTCGTTGCAGGTAAAGGCGACGTGTTTGGAGATGTGTTCTGGAAAGAGACCACGCTGGCCCGAGCTTGCGCAAACGTCCGAGCCCTAACCTACTGCGATCTTCACGTCATCAGGAGAGAGGCTCTGATGAGGGTGTTGGAGTTTTACACAGCATTCGCCAGCTCCTTCTCCCGCAACCTCATCCTCACCTGCAACCTACGGAAACGGGTACTCAAACACTCACAGTACAGCCGCCCTCCTTCTGACTCCACATTAGTTGTCAGACTGGAATTTTTCAATCATAAGTCCCTATTTATAAAATGAAAATTACAAACCTACTCTACTTAAACAACCAATGTGTGAAAACTAATCACAAAGGTTAGACCCTTAATCCAAACTAAGACTTACTAGTGTTTGATAGAGCAGGTTATACATATTAATCCCACTGAGGCGGTGAAATGTGCTGCTTTCCCATCTAGTATTACTGTAATACCATCCTTTGGGAACAACATTACATAAATTCTTAATGGATATTCCCTTTAAAATCAGTCTGATACATATGGTATGTTGTGCTCTTCTGTTCAGGAGCAGCATCTTTTTGAGGTATAGCAGATTTGAAACAAGACTCTTTCCTCTACTTTATGCACATTTCTGAGGGAATTCAACTGACTCCTATTTGCTTAATATAATCTCTGTATCTAAAGTAGCAACTTACAACTGTGCAATTTGCAATATTGATATGCTTTGCTTCTGTGTTTTCTGGTTTGGTGCAGATACTTTATACGAGCTCTTATGTAATCATATGTACTGAAATCAGTCTCAATGAAGCAGCTCTAAAGCCCAAGGAAAACTGTGGCTACACGTTGAAAGATTTATGGCTTTTACTTAAAATGTGTTCAATGAAAAGAGACATCTGTTATTTATTTGAGCAGCTTTAACAACTGCTCATGCCTGTGTAAGTTTAAGATTTACTATTTGCCCTATTTAAGGTTATGTATGTATGTATTTTAAACTGCACATGAACAAATGCTCCTTTGTGTTTTCTTTGATAGAAATCCATGCAATCAGTGCCTGCAATACATTTGGTTTATTGTTAAATGTTTAACCTTGATTATTATAATAACTGTCAAGTGGGCTGCAGCAGTGCCCTGGAGCTCCCTGCTGTTTCTATAGGTGGACATTTGGAACATCTCCCAGATTAAAAATGTCAGCAAAAGGAGAAACAAAAGTAAGATGCTGAAAAGTTGTATCAACTTTTCCTTTTGTCTTCTGAGGGCACTGTGAAACTCTCAGGATGTTGTTGAGTCATTGCTCCATTAACAGGCTCCTGTGTGCACTGCTGCTTTCAAGTCATAAATATTTCAACACATATAGCAGCTCTGGATCCTTGCTTTAAAATGGACTTATAGAGTATATGTGCATTGTCTTACATCCAAGTAGAGACCACTGTGCACGGTGTAGCTCTACTGTAAGTAAAGTAAAACCCACACCACAGTCCTCATGCACAAATCATTCCTTTTGTAGATAATCTTCAGAAAGATTGCTGATGTGAAGAGGGAGCAGGAGTGCCAGCAGAGCGAGGTGACTCTGTCTATCCCTGAGGACCATCCAGTCCGTAAGCTGTTCCAGAGGTTCAGACAGCAGAGAGACGCACAAACACTGGGAGAGTCTCACACCTATTCTGATCACAACTGTGTGCAAGTTGAGCCTGAGCAGCACCACCACACCGAGTCATACTCTTATACACAGTGTCAGTCTGCATCTCCTCAGCAGCAGGAGTACAGCTCCACTGTGCGAAATAATGCACCCTGCCCAGGAGGGGGGAGCACAGGCAGCGGAAGTAGCGGAAGTAGCATGGCAGTTCCTCCACGAGCATTTGTCCACTCTGAACAGTCAGAGAAGAACTGCACACAAGAGGTTAGGGAGTCCATGTCAAGGGTTTGTGAAAAGAGTCAACTATGTCAGAGAGTTAACAGCCTTGGTAGTGGTGCAGGTGGAGAGAGAGCTGCAGATGGTGATGACAGCAGCAGAGGTGCAAGTGGCTGGGCAAAGTTTAGAAATGCCACATCTGCTGCACCAGTGCCTCCTGCCTTTGAGCGAGAAAAGCAGACACAGACCTCAGAGGAGTGGTCCAAAGGATCGCAGTCGTCCGAGCAGTTAGCAGCAGCCAACAAATCAGAGGAACGTGGGGAGATGGAGAGCACGGAGGGCGGCAACAGTGCAGGAGAAGCAGGCAAAGAAACAAGTGCCCTACACAAAACAGACTCCTGCGACAGTGGTTTTACAAAGAGCGATCTACGTATCGACAGAACTGGAGATTCAAGAAGCTCCTTTGAGCGAAGCCCGATGGAAAAGAGCCCGGTGGAGAGAAACCCGTTTGAACACAGTCTTGGTGTTGACAAGATCTGCTTCAAACACTCTTTTGTACAGTCGGTGTCTGAGCAAGCGCTCGTTCCGGTGACACTCCATGAGGCCAAGCTGGAGCTGAAGGGGGACATTCAGATCCTGAGTGGCCGGCTGTCGGTCCTCGAGTCTCAGGTGGGCGAGATCCTCAGGTTGCTTTCGATAAAAAGAAGACTCTCCCTGCCACCGGTTTCTTCTCCAAAGCAGAGAATCAAAAGTCAAGACTCAGTCAGTGTCTCCAGGCCGGTCACACCGAAAACAGATGAAGGGCCTTTTTGAATGAACTGTTAAAAAGCCCACAACCTGAATCTTTAAAAAACAAAACAAAACACATTTTATACAAGAATCGTGCATGTCCTGCTGGACTCTGTCCTGCCAAAGACATTTCTTGCATTAAACACTGTGTTGCATGCAGAAATCCAGTTCATATTGTAGCACGAAAAACCCAGGTTATTTTTCTAACAGTCTTTGACTTATGAGACACTTTATGGTCCTGTGTGTACACGTAAGAATACCAAGAAAGAAACTGGGGGAAAAAAAAACACAAAAACATCTGTGGTGTTTGTACCAGGAAATTGGAGCGTTTTTACTGGCTACATATCTCAAATAAAATACTCCAATGAAGGCTCTTGTTGAAACATGTTAGCCTGATGGGATGATCAGTTCAAATATGGATGAACTGAGATCAGGTCTCCTTTTGTAAAAACATGTTTTAAATCTTTTTGTAAAGCCACCATTTTTATGACCTCCTTGGGCCTTTTTTCGGGATGTTAATTTAACCGGAAAGGCCACAGGCTATTCGTTTTCACAGGAGTGACAGTGGCGACTTCCAGGTATTAATATGTGCCTTACAATAATAAAGCCTCACTCAGACAAGTTTTGGTCACAGAATAAACTCTTTTGGTTTTGGATCTAATGTTTTATATAGTAAATGTTAAATCTATGATAAAAAGTAATATAAATACACGATTAGGATATGAAACAAGATCTGGAGGAAAAATGAAAATTTGAATCTGTCACTTCGTCTTCGTTTCCTTTTACTAATTGTTCAGTAATTCTGTGTCTGAGCTTCGTTCCTATGCATGTAAAACAGGAATAAGGATGCATTAATGGTGGTTGAATAATAAAATGTTTAACTTTTTAAAAATCTTTAAAACAAGATGCAATTAGTTCAGTAGGTGGATGCAACTCTGCCCCAGGTCTATTGAGTTTCACCATTTTAAACAGTGATATATACTATGTTTTAAATCACAGTCGATTTTAAATGATGGGTTACTACACACTGCTATTCAAATCTAAATGAACTGACACTGGACTTTGTGATGCAAAAATGATAAGAAAGATGTAAAGCTGTAGTTATGAATGTTTTCTCATTTTCTATGTGACTGCCCATGATCCCAGTAGCAACTGTAAAGACGTATGCATGTGACTGTTCACCAATGGAATACATGTATTTTACATTAGATATACAAACAACCTAGCATGCATCCAAGAGAACCTGTCAACAGTGAAATGAATAATGAAACTGATGCCTGCTCACCGTCTGCTGTTTAGTCTCCTCTGTTGTACAACACAAAAAAATCATTCCTGTCTTCCCTGTCAGTGTTCAGCAGTGCTGAATAAGATTGGTAGTAGCTATAAATTATTTAAGTATTTTCAGTTTCTTAAACCAGGTTCAAAAGTCTGCAGAGAATCCACCGCACTCCGTACATCTGGACCTCATGTTTGCATTTCCAGCACGCAGTCCTCCAGAACACTGGGTGGCGCTAACGTCTTTACCGTCTGCACTAACTGGAACACTCATAAGTCTGCAGAACTTTGAGCCTGAAAGTTTTAGCCAGGTAAGAATGTTCATTTATGGTGCTGTGCAACTGTAAACATCGCCGGACTTCTGCAGCATTTTACCACAGTGAGTGGTCTCTATACGGGTCCATCGCTCCGTCTCCCGTTCACTTCTAATGAGGCCAACATAACTTTTAAAAGCAAGTCTTGATTTTATGGTAACGGGTTCGTTAATGTTATCACCCGGTTACACGTCACATGAATAAAAAAAAGCCCTGCTGGCGACTGGATTCCCTCTGACACGACCACTCTTCTCCCTCTGCAGTGATCTGGTTGTAAGGCCTCGTTTAAAGATACAATTTGGTATTGAAACCTAGTTCACTTGTTAAAAGTGTAACCAGTTATTACAACCAAACAGAAAATTGTCATAACAAAAATTTAAACAAAGCCATTGTTGATCTGGCTTTTAACAACTGCGCAGACGTACAATAATTGCTCAGAATAATAATCTATGTTCCCACTGTGGAAAACTCGTGTCTCTTAGTGGTTTCCAGATGTGGGATTCTCACATCCCACTATATTTTTGACTTAAAGCACCATTTTATCTTTTCTTAGCACTGAGATGGAAATGCAGCTGCCACCTCATGAGGGGGACGAGCTCTCTGTGGTCGACATGCACACGGGTGGAGAGCCTTTGCGGATCATCCTTGGCGGCTACCCAGAGGTCAAAGGTGACAGTGTGCTGTCCAAACGCCGTTATGTGCGGGAACATCTGGACCACCTCAGGAGGATGCTGATGTATGAACCACGGGGACACTACGACATGTACGGAGCCCTGATCGTGGACAGCGAGATCCCTGAGGCTCATGTGGGGGTGCTGTTCATGCACAACGAGGGCTACAGCACCATGTGTGGACACGCCGTCATTGCACTGGGACGCTTCGCAGTGGACTACAGACTGGTGAAAGAACCACAGTCACCAGAGACACAAGTGAACATACACTGTCCCTGCGGTCTGGTCAAGGCATTTGTTGAGTATTCTAATGGTAAAACAGGGGGAGTGAGGTTCCTCAGCGTGCCAGCGTTTGCATTTGCTACAGGTGCTACACTGTCCTCACAGCAATCCAAAATACTTTCAGGTTCCAGGTTGTTTTCACATTCTGCTAGATGTACTAAACTACTTTTCACTTAGATGTGACGGTGACAGTGGAAGGATTTGGCGATGTGACCGTTGACGTTGGCTACGGAGGAGCCTTCTACGCCTTTGTAGACGCCCAGAGGTTTGGCCTGGATGTGACCAAGTCCAGGACTCGAGATCTGGTAGACGCAGCCACAGCAGTGACCAATGCTGTCAGATCTCAGGTAAGAAAGTTTGTATTGTACAGTTGTTTTTAATTATTACACACAGTATTCACAGTGCAAACTGAAAAACTGTCATGTGGGAGGTGTGATCTCAAAGAAAGGCATGAAAAAAAAAAAGCTCCAGACAAGTAATGTAGGAGCTGAAGTGTATGTAAAGGAGTTTTCCATCCATCCTTGACATGGTTTGTGTTACTTTCTTCTAGGTGAAGTTGAACCACCCAATCAGTGATGATCTGGCTTTCCTCTATGGCACCATCCTCACAGACGGAAAAGACGACTTTTCCTCTGATGCCACATCCAATATCTGTGTGTTTGCTGAAGCTCAGGTATTTTATTAACATGAGAAATTATCTCGTTATTTGAACTGGGGGAAAACATTAACATTTTATAAAATGATCCAAGCATAGGGTCAGGGTAACAGTTTTTGACATCAGCATGGATCGAGTCCTGTTTGTGTCAGTAATACACAATATATTATACTTTAATATAAAATCTGCAGAAAGAAGTTGGGAAGACACTTGCTGCAAGATAAATATTTAAACTTTTAACAGGACTTTTGGATGAATCAAGAGTATGTTGGAAAATACTAAAGAAAAAAGACCAAACGTACGGAGCAGACCCCACACGTTTGGTTAATTAGTGCTGTCTTAACCTGGCTTCACCTGGTTTAATCGCTGTGTCCTCAGGTGGATCGAAGCCCCACTGGTTCTGGTGTTACAGCTCGAGTGGCTCTTCAATACCACAAAGGACTTATCCAGCTGAACCAGACCAGGACGTTTCAGAGCGGAGTTACTGGATCCCAGTTCACAGGAAAAGCTGTCGAGGTACCACTCAGTGGTTGTTTTGTCTCTTTGTGGCTGTTTTTCCATCTCTTTGTGGTCATTAGTTTGACTTGCCAACAAGGAATGCTAAGTCATAGCTACCCCTTTTCCACAAACACGAACTACAAGTGCTAGCTCGGAGCTGGTTCATCTTGCGAACCTTCTAAGAACCAGTTTGCTTTCCACTAGAGAGCCACCACACAGCCATGTTAATTATGTCACTGTATACGTCTGAATATGCCCCTACTTTCCCAGCAATGCTAGCACCAAGCAAATTAGGTACTAGTTCATGGTGTTGTTAGTTCTCCATTGCTGCTGAAACAGAGAAGTTTCCCCATTGAGAGATCAGTAAAGTACCTACCTACCTACCGCTCAGGTTGGGGAGTGGGGGTGAGGGGTGTCAGTCAGACTGGCCAACCCTCAGGCTCTACCTCTGCACATATGCTAATAAAATGGTCATGGGTGAATGAATGATTTCTGGGTTAACTGCCTTGGTGATAATGTGTCATTAACCAAAGGTCAGGAGCCGGTTTAAGATAACATCACTCTCTGTCTCTCTTCAGGTTGAATAATCCTCTGCTGTGTTCAACAGAGAGTTAAGTGTTTGTTATAAACCAGACAGAGACTAAACTGTATAATCAAAAGCAAGCAAGTAGATTTTATCCTACAAGACTTTTAGATCTTAAAATGAAAATCCATCCATCCTAATTCAGATCAATCAATGTAACACTTCCAGTTTCCACTTATCATAAAGGTAATGTTGCCTCATCCGGCTCAGTTTCGTCACACAGCTTCATTAGTTCACCTGTGACCGACGCACCCTCAGAAATAAATGCTGGGTTGCCAAAAATGTCCTGTCCATTTAAAAACCTGTTTTCACTGAGGTATGTTTTGATTGCCTTTTGTTTCCGTCCAGGAGACCAAGTGTGGAGACTTCCGGGCTGTAGTGGTGGAAGTTGCTGGCAGAGCTTTCTACACCGGAGTTTCATGCTTTGTACAGGAGCCAGATGATGAGCTGACGTGTGGTTTTCTGCTGAAGTGAGCCTCAGTTAAAAGTGTTGATTTCTAACATGATTATACATTAAAAGTATTTTGAACATTAGTACTCCAAAGTGTTTCTGTAGCTGCAGACGTTGTACCAGCTTTAAGCCCTCCAAGAAGAGAATTGGACCTTTAATAAACTGTTTTAAAGAGACAGTAGAACACTTTGTTTTCTCTTTGAGTTAATCATGACCCGAGTAAGATTTCATTGAGTAGTAAATTAAATAAATACATTTACCACTTCAGGCTAACTACAATAATATTTATACTGCATTGTGTCATTTGACTTCAAAGTTAAAATAGTCAGTATATAACACTGATATTTACCAGTAATCAGTGTATGGCTACCCTGAGGTAATTCCAGAAAACAAAGTTAACTTTTACTAGGAATATAATTGGCTTGTTGACAACAAGTATGAACATTTACTGGCTGAAAGAGCTGAGTGTGCGCTGTGCAGTAGTGCTTACTGACCACTAGATGGCGTTATGAGCTGCTGTCAGAGGGACGTTTACTCAGGACTGTGGTGATGAAAAATGACTTTTGACTCAAAATTAATGCTGCATAAGAATGACTTCAGGTGTGCTTAACTTAATACAAGAACTCAAAACTGTCTTCTCCCTTTTATTATCAGGTCACTGTACAATGGAAAGTGATATTTAAATTATAAAAGTTTATTGTAAGTGTCTGACATTGGATGAATTCACACGGCTGCTAATGGCAGACTGAAATCAGAAGTTACACATCCACATTGTGATGTTTTTTGGAAACAGGGTTTTGTTTCCTCTTTCCTTTTTTTGCAGCATAAATCCAGCCCATGTGCAGAAAACATATTTCATCTATTCAAACAAAGACATAAATGGAGGGCACTCCCTTCAGAGGTGAAAAGAACTGTATTGCAGTCGTCGGACATGAGTTTAATTGCATTTAGCATAGTAATTATGAATTCATATGTCCATGTATAACCAATACACAACCGTATTTATAGATATATGTAATCTATGACATGAATGTCCATGTTGAGAATGCAGATTAGCCCCAGGCCTTTCAGAGTACCCACTCAACAATTAAACTCAAGATAGTTAAGGCCAGCTCTTAACAGAAAACAGTTCAAATAAAACATACAGCAATCAGATATATAAATGCTGCATGCAAATAATGGTGAATAGAAATAAAAATCTGCTTTTCAGCTGCGTCACCTGTAGTTAAACAATGTATGTTTAACAACACTGTGTCTCAGTCTTAGGATGGTCCTGACTGCAATAAAGCGGCAGCGCTGACAGGGAGCTTAGATTCAGGGTACATCTCAATTCCTTTACTTGGATCCAAGTTTCTCTCACTTATGTTTTTTCCTTGTGGCTTAGTGTGTAGGATGTGAGGGGAAAAAAATGTGAGGAGAGAGGAATCAAGGAAATGTTTTGAGAGACATCCTTTCCTCTGAAGCACCCAATTATGAACTGATTTCTGATAAAGAGGCGTGTTTTTGGTCCATAAAGACTTCCACAATGGATGGTCTCTTGTGTCCTTGCACATGTTTCCTCTAGGCAGCCTTCTCGATCCTCACTCCTCAGAGCAGGAATAAGAGCTTTGGCATGTCCTTCAAGATGGCAGACAGTATGACTTCCGGGTTGATTGAGAACTGAGGAACAATCAAATTTGGGAATTGGGATGAATCCTCCCGCTCATACTCCAAAAACCGTCTCTTTGACAATTCAGGGGTGTGAACGCAGTCAATCTCAATCTATGAAATTAGTCAATACAAAATGGCCCCTTGTGTTTTTAATGGAATCATCTTCCTGTTTGGATCGAGCGCCAAACCCTGAAGCTGTCTAATAACTGCACATTTCTCACTGCAGCTATTAGACAGCAGCACAGACAGAATGGTTCCCATCAAAACAGCTTTGAGCATCTCTTTCACCTCAAATGAAGTAAATCATCCTGGTCCTACATGACATCTTCTGAAAACATGTCATTCGACCAAACTAATTATCTGATTTGGTCATTAATAACAGATTTTGGTTGTGGGAAATCAGAGGATGAAAGGTCTAAACGTGGTGCTGTGTGGGGCTCTACAGCGACAATGTGAGGTCGTGGCTTGTTGAACTGGGTGGTGGCGGAGGAGGGTGCTGAGGAATGTGCGTGTTGGGTCGACCCACAGTGAAAATAACTGTGGGAAGTGCTGGCAGGGTGGACGGGTGATTTCATCACCCTTGCTGCACTCAGCCACTCCTCAGAAGTTAAGTTTTGTGACTGGGCGCTCTCTGTTCGAGTCCGTGGTCTGGCTGTTGATGCGTTTGCGGTTGCGTTTCATCTTGGACAAGTCCTTGTCAAAGACCTCACCCGATCGTAGCGCCGACACCAAATCATCAAACTCACCACCATCATCCTCCCCGTTTGCCTTTGCCTTCCGGGCCTTTCGCTCTTTCTCCCTCTGTTCTTTTAGCTGGTGACAGAAATGAAAGTGACTGTATGAACAAATAAAACATCTCTCTAAATGTGTTAACCTAGTTCAGAGATTTGAGGAACACACTTATTTGCTTTCTTTAGTTGAGAGCATCAAGACCACTCATGTCTGGACACTAAATATGAAGCTGTGCAGCTGATTAGCTTAGCTTAATATAAGGACTGGAACCAGGGAAACAGCTAGTCTGGCACTGTCTAAATGCAACAACAGCCGCCTGATGGCACCTCTGGAGCAGTTTCTAGAGGGGCACAGTGATTTCCTGGTGTCTTGTCAACAGTGTTGTTGCTAGGCAACCATCTGAGAAGTTGTCATGCCCATAATCCTCTAAGAACAACCACACAGTTTTAACAAATGGGATTTAACATGTTCATTAGTGATTGGTTCTTCACGAATTGTATGGAAACAGGGACTAATAATGTACCTGAGCTTCCATCTTGGCCCTGCGCTCCTCCTCTTCTTTGCGTTTTCGGATGTTCTCGTTCTCCTGCTGAGCCTCGGAGAACGACTGCAGGAACTGGTCGAATATGCCAAAAAACTCATCTGGCTGCATTCTGCTGGCATCCTCACTGAAGTGCTTTACTGCCCTCAGGAACTGTGGTAAAAAAGAAGGGGGCACACAGGGAGGGGCACACATTAGGTTAGATTAACAGCAGGACACAGTAGAACTATGTTTTATTTTTGTCTTTGACTGTTTTACAGGAGACTCATTAGGTCCCAGCCCTTTGAAATCAGAGCAAGTTATCAGTAGTTGGGCTTTGAAGCCCATGTTAACCCAGATCTGACTAGTGATTAGTGCTGAGGCCAGAGACTGGAGCCAGAGCCCAAATTAAGACAATGTGTTTGTTGGGTATTTTTCACAGCAAGTTAAAAAGGAGAACATCCAGATGTGATATCACGCTGAGAACATACATCTGTTAGTTAACGACAGTTCTGTCTGTGACATGCAAACTCGTATCAGAGGGAGCAAAGATGCATTTTTTTAACATGCAGTGCATTCAACTGTGCAAACAGGTTTGCAATTCCTAACAACAGGAACCAAGAAACAGAATTTCATAATAAATGTCACCTTTTCCTTTATATCTTGACATTCTGCAACATATACACACACAAGATGCAAAAAGCTATTTAGAGGATCAGAAGGCTATGTGGTATGGAGGACCACACTAAACAGTCTCAAATATGGCACATAGTAAATGATTCACAGAAATGAATGTTTACCGTGTGATGAGCTGAGCCCTTGGGCCAATGTAGTACACAAACTGTGCTCAACGTAAAAACTCTTCCTGCTTCGGAACAATAAAGGTGGACAGACATAAATCTAACTTCAAGATGTCAGACTCTCCCTCAAAAGATGATTATTAAGTTTCCAGTAGTAAAAAAAGCCAGTTTCACTGAGAATAGGGCCCAGGTAAAATCCAGGTTTGTTATTTGCTTTAGTACTGTGATTGCTTTTGTTACCGCATTAGTGATGAGTAAAGTGCAGGAAACAGGAAACTGAAACACTTCACTCCTGCTGTTAGCTTTCCTAGAAAGGTGACTGATGAGGTCAGTAAAGTGTGTAGAAATAGCTGTGTGGAGAGGAAATGGGATGCAAGCTTTCAGCATCTTTGTCTCCAGGTAGTGGTCAGCCGGTCAGCTCAGACGGACAGTTTTCTGCAGAAACCGCACAGCCATAATGACTTACCAGTTCTTTTGCCTCGCCGAGAGAGTCCTCCACATCAGAGAAGCTGAAGCTGGCCACAGTGATGAACTGACTCACTACCGATACAAACTTGTCGCCCTGTTCTTGGGGTCGATTCTTTTGGTATTCAAGCTCCTGCGAGTGGGAGGACAGAAGAGAAAAATGAGTGACATTATCTTTGGACTAAAATGTTATAACAGCATGGCCAATGCATAACACGTATTGTCTAATAAATCTTTGTGACTCACGCTCTCGACACTTTTCAAGCCACTGCGCAGGTTGCAGATATCTTTTTCCAGCTCAGTCATGCTGCAAGAAAGAAAGAAAGGTGGTGGTTATACACAGAATCTAGGAATGAGTTTTAATGAAAGCTAAAAGTTTGGAAACAGGTTCTCTAAGGCAGTGGTTGCCAACATCTGTATATAACTGTATAATAAAAAAAAGGGCACATCTAATCCTGACTCATCACAAATTTTTTTTCTCCTTGACATATATATGATGGACATGGCATCACCACTTCCCTCCACTATGCAAAAATGAAGCCAAAATATCATGAATACGGTGGCTGCCATCTTGCTTTTTTGCAACCAGATTTGGTGCAGTAGCGACGAGAAGTCCAGTGACAGTATTGGGATGCCAAATCAAGTGAAATACACCCCTTTTTATATCATCAAATAACTTATTAAAAATAAACCTACCAGAGAAATGGCCACTTATTCACACATCTGCATGATAATATCTACTAAAAACCACAGAAGTGACCTCTTGAAAATGTTTTATCTGTACTTTGAGTTTTTAGTCTGGCTCGTGTGCCATCTGCTAACATGGAGGAGACAGAATTTATGACCTATACTGCAACCAGCCACCAGGGTGCGATCCATTTGAGATGGTTTTACTTCAGGGAGCTGTCATGCTGTCCATATTTTATACAGCCCATGGTTTATCTTATTTCCTACCATGTTAAATCATCTTGTGACCCACCTAATTTTATCCTGCGACCCCTTTGAGGGTCCTAAACCCCAAACTAAGAACCACTGCTCCACCTACTTGACTTTGGCTGCCTCTGGGACACTCTGCAGGTCCTCCTGGAACTTCAGGACGTTGGGATATTTCTTCTCCAGGATGCTGATCAGGTAGTGCAGGAGAGTGATGTTTCTGCAAACCGAAGATAACGAGCTGAACCAACCTTCTAATGCAGTGAACTTGTCAAACATGTAATATATTGCTTTTATTACGTAAGTTCAGGTATGAATACCCATATGGAGTTTCATCGATATCACCATCTCAGTTCCAGATGTAACTTTTATATCCCACACATTCTTTATGTTACTGCCTGCAGTATACTGTATGTTAAAAATGTTCTCACTTGTCAATACTGGATTTGGTATCAGCGATCTTGTTGAGTGAAGACACTTTGAAGCCATAAGCATTCCCCCTCTGACCCTTGTTCATGTAGTTTCCAAAGGCTAGCACCACCTCCAACAGCTGCTTCAGGTTTCTACTGTGTAAAACCTCTTTAGATGCCTTGGTTAGAGCTGAAACATAAAGAAAATGTATGTTTCCCATGGATTCAAATGTATTTTTAGACTTAGGAGACATTTTTCTTTGGTGACTTTCCTTACTAAACTATAAGAGACTTCTGGATATTTAGAAATAAAAGACAATACTTTGCAGTCTAGCACATTTATAAAAAATATTGTTTTATTTAATGTCCATGGCGAGCAAGCCTTTCCCCACCTTCAACTTTAGGCTTGATCTCAGCTATCCTCTCTGGAAACTTCTTTTTGAAGTATAGAGACTGCAGCCTCTGCTGGTAGTGGTTTATTCTGGACAGGAGATGGAAAATGTGTTTAAAAGTAAAACAAAAATAGACAGAAATAATACATTATAAACAAGGAAATCTACAAATTTAGACAAAAGCCACAAACATGGACACTGTGCTTGAACAAAAATAAAGCAAGCTGCCTGTGTGCTCACTAAATGACACATATACAAGTTTTAGTTGCGGTAATGGGCCTTATTTTTGGCAGCGTTTATGATTTCAGCCTATAAGCCACTGACTCTACAGCTAATCAATTCCAGTGACACATCTGTCCTCCAGCTTATTCTGTATTTGGACTAGAGTGGTGAAAACCTGGAAACCTACAGTAAATTATTAAAACACCAACTGTATAAGTCTTCTGATCTTTGCTTGGTAGATATATTGATGCAGTTAGTGGAGGAGCTGTGACTTGTTTCCTTTTATTTTATAGGACTTTGTTTACAAAACTTCAAGGAAAACACTGTTATTACATTCCAGACTCTGTTCAGTAAGACAACTTAAAAATGGTGATTCATACAGACAGCTATTGTTCCCTCCTAAGTGGAACCCCATGTGCCATTTAATGTATCTGCTATGACTAAGAGGAAACAATGGCTATTGTTTGTCAGCAGAGTGCTGCACTGACCTGAGGCTGTCAGCTCGGAGATAAGAACCTGCTTAGTATTGAATTAAAAAGGTACACTTGAGAAAAAGATTAATGCTGCACGAGTAAAGTACCTGCTCATCTCATAGAGGAAACGGTCTGGTTTTGCCATTCGGTCGAGCTCATGTTTGTGCTCCTCCAGAAGATCCACATCACTCTTCTCTGGGACAAACTTCAGTAGCTGATGGGGCAGGAAAAGACTTTACTTAGCATACTGCATATAACACATGCTCAGCTAAACTTCTTTCACTTAGAGGCAGTGGAAAGATTTATCCTGCTTTCTCAGTCTGTAAAAGCATTTTTTCCCATATAGTAGCTAATGAACAGGGTTGAATCTCTACTAACATATTATTGCATCTCAAAGCCTCATCAATGCAAAGTCAACATCAATAAAATATACCACTATCAGATATATAACACAATGAATATCACCTAGCACACATTTTGTGAAAGGGCTCTACAAACCTATAATAGACATGAAGTCAGTCCTGAGATGCATTACTTCACTTTACATAGAACACCTAATGTCACATCACTTTGTCAAAATACATTTGAGTCTTCATGAGCTGTTGTGGCGTCCATTTGTGTTTATATGCACACAAGAAACCAGATTACTTTAAAATTCAACTTCCATGTTTACATGCACTGTAACCCTGACACTGTAAACTTGCATAAGCATGCAGTAGGGGGAGTAGTCAGATTTTCAGATTTTCCCCTACCTCTGATTTTATTTTGGAAGCACTACTTAGCTTACCCATAGTAAGTAATACACTGATCCCTGATTTTTGTTGGAACACTAAAGTCACACAAACAACACAAATGTTGAGCAGGAGAAACTTATTAAGATTTCTAAAGGATATCTTGTATTATTGTAGTTTCACTTTTATTATTATGTTTTTTGATAGATATCCTTGTCACAAGTCTCTGTCTTGCACAAGTGTACAGTCTTATGCAAAAGTTTAGGCACCCCTTGATAAATAACAGATTTTGGTGATTTTTTATTTGAACAGATGTTAACACAGTTTCTCTTGGAAATGGAAAAAATGCACAATATTTTCAGCAAACAGTGATGCATAGTTACTTCTTATGCCATAAATTGAACAAAAATAAAAAATAAAAACATTATTATGGCATGGTGCAAAAGTTTGGGCACCCTAAGAGTTCCAGAGTCTCAAAGTCTCTCACAAGGTATCAGACCTTAATCAGCTCGTTAGATCTGATGCACAGCAACAGCTGTCATTGGTAAATGCCAATTTCAAAGCTGTACAAATACTTTGACTCTTCAAACCTTGTGCACACACTTGTGGACACCCAGCAACCATGGGTTCCTCTAAGCAGCTGTGTAAGACCCTGAAAATGAAAGTTATTGACGCCCACAATGCAGGAGAAGGCTACAAGAAGATAGCAAAGCGTTGTCAGCTTGCAGTTTCCACAGTAAGAAATGTAATTAAGAGATGGCAGATCAGGGGAACTGTGGATAGATGGACCAATGGAACAGCACGAGAGGACCAGACCAGCCTACAATTGCACATTTGAATTGTATAAAATCAGCTGGGTTGAGGAGAATAGGGTTCCTCTGCTCTGAAGGCAGATTGAATTGTTTTGGTGTTGTTGATAGGGCTTCAGAGAAATGGAACCCAGAGCTCTGTAAATTGCTCTATTCAATGGTCCATTCAGTTATGATAATAAATGTTTGAAAGGTGCTATTTGAGTCCGATTAGTCTTCATAAAAGAACGCGCAGGACAGTTAAAGTCTGACATTACACAATGCATAAATAAACTATACATTTAAACTTTAAAATTGTTGATTTTGTACTTTGAACTCGCTTGTTGAATAATGTGATTAAAGACACAAACATGTTCCATGCTAGCACTTTCTCCAAGTGACACAACATTGATTTACTTTGTTTTTGTGTTCTGGAGTGTGTAGCATGAAAATGCAAATGTGAGCTGCAGTTTTGAGAGTTGCAGCCATTGGTCTTTTTAACTCCAACAAAACTGAAGCACAGAGCTATTCATTGCTCCATTTCACTACCTTAAGGAAAGTAAACAAAATGGAGGAAAAAATGATTGTGTGGTGGACAATGGATGTTGGATATAATTCACACACACTGGTATTTCTGCTCTGTTACAGATTCATAGGGTAACATGTACAGGACTGTAGTTCATGTTATGACCACTTACACACCTCCTCTGCCAGAGGAGGTGTTACTAAGTACTGATTGTGTAGGGTGCCCAAACTTTTGCACCATGCCATAATAATGTTTTTATTTTTTATTTTTGTTCAATTTATGGCATAAGAAGTAACTATGCATCACTGTTTGCTGAAAATATTGTGCATTTTTTCCATTTCCAAGAGAAACTGTGTTAACATCTGTTCAAACAAAAAATCACCAAAATCTGTTATTTATCAAGGGGTGCCTAAACTTTTGCATGAGACTGTACATGTAAAAAGTAGATTACCAAGAACTGACCAAGAATCCTGAGTTCTCCAGGAGAGATCCACCTGGGGAAACCAAGTTTCTCTAATCCCCTGCCCCACAATTACAGTAACTAGGTACATGTCAATACACTGCAGCGAGTAGCAGAGAAGAAGCACTGTTGCATGCAGGAAACCTGATGCTGTACCTGCTCCAGCATGTCTTTGGGAAGGTCCTCCTGTTCATCCATGGTGAGAATAGCTCTCTTGATCTCCTCATTTGAAAGCTTTAATCTGGAGTACACAACAGATGAGTGGATTAAAAATATTTCATACTGTGTCAGTAAGGTTTGTTAAAAGGATTATAATGTTGTGCTAAACTTACCGCGAGAGAAGGATGTTGCAGTTTTGAGCTCGACGGCCATCGATGACTGACAGCTCCTTGACTTTTTTCGAGCCCAGCATGTCGTCTTCTGCCTCTTTCTGTGGGCAAAACAGCAAAGCTTAGAGGGCGATTTTTTCATGATCAAATTTTTTGCTGTTTTTGTTAGAGTCAGCCACAAACTCAGCAACTCACATGCCCTGAAAACACAACAAGGTTCAAAGCACAGTCAAACAAGAAAGTTATCACATTCATGGTCCCAAGCAAACATGACAAAAGTCTCAAAGGTGTACAGTACAGTGTTTCCCACAGAACTTGATTCTAATGGTGACGATAGCTAGTGGTGGGGTGGGGTGCCAGCTAGTTTGCTAATAACAGATTAGAAGAGTTAGATCTGCGATGTACAGTGTTA